TTACCTCTCCGTATAGGAGGGGCGTAGTAGAGAACAGTATATGGGCACTGGCGACCTGAAAGGTTTTCAATACAGCTTGGTTCAGGCGCCTTCTAAGGAGTCCCCTTGGCATGTTCCCTTGAAACGGAACCCTGACGAAGAGTTGTTTCTTCTCTGCTGTCAGCACCGATGGTTTTGGCGGTCTTCCAGCCCTGTTTTTGGCAATAAATCGATGGGAATACCCATTTCGTCGAAAAATGCCTTCAACCATCTTAAGCTCTTCTTCGATGCCATCGATCGAACCAATCCTTCGAGTCCTTTGTGTCGGACATCTTGGCCGCCAGTCCGCCTAGACACTGACATTTTGACCTCATTTTCTCCACCCCCCCCCTCCACCGACCCTGACAACTATAATACTACATCTTTCCACCAACCAGCATAGTCTATTTATTTAATTACCATATAAATGTAAAAGCCTGACGAGAATTTATTGAAAACAAACGTATGTTCACCTATTTATTTTCTGCATAAAGTTTAAAAAATCCTGTCCAATTTCCTTTTCATTGGTATTATTTATAAATTATCAGACTATCTTTTTCCTTAAGGATGACTTATAAGGCAGCCCAAACATGCAACGGGAATAGGAGTGCCCCCGCCCATAGATGACTTTGCGATAAATTTCAGGACCTGTAAATATGCCCCAACATAAAACAAAACTCTAACCGTAGGAAGTCAAGCTCGGCGAACGAAAGTTTAACCGATTATTCATCATCGGACTAGTACAATAATTCAAGGGAGAGGGTAGGATTAACAAAATTTTAAGCAACCAATCAGTAATAACTAGGGGGACAGGTGTTAAGGGATCAATGGGGATCAGATTCTAGTTATAATGTGGGACCAAAGAGGGTGGGGGAGGGGGAAAGGTGCTGCGACAATTAGTTCATGTAGCCTCGGCCTTCCTGTCTCGCGTCTTGTTGGTAGGTGTCAGGACACAAGGTGTCACGGTCTCGCGACGGCGAGGATGAATGCCGTCGCTG